TTATTTCCTATGGCTGAGCCTTGTTGTGACACATCAAGCTTTCTCCAGATGTTGTCTTGGCTTCCCACCAGAGTAAGCATTCATATGCTCTGCTTTTAGTTTATATATACAGTATATACATAATGTTTTTCCTTTCTTAATTTTGTTTTTTTATTTGGGATCAGCTTCTTGCACTCCTTTGCCGGCTCAACCCTTTCTGTCTTCCCTTCCCTCACCTAATCACTTCATGTTTTGTTTTTGGCAAGGATCCCTTGATGAGGCACTTCTGTCAGTCTTTGCAAGACCTTAGTCTCAGCAGCAGAATGAGAAAACTTTGAAGCCCAGTCTGGGGCTTGAGGTAGCTGTGGAGGGCATATTCAAAATACTAATGACGCAGGCACCTTAGTGCTGGAGAGTCAAAGACATCTCCCTTCATCAGCTGGTATAAGCATCAAGAGCTACAAGTCTTTCTGTAGAATTGTATGAGATCCTTTGAAGGAAATAATCTGGAATCTGTTTTTATAAAATATCAAAAAATGGCCAAATAAGTAAGGGCCCAAAGTAGGAAAAAGATGTGCTCAGAAGAGGAAGTGACTCATAGAAGTTGGGTTCAGGAGTTAGTAGAGAATTTGGACTTTGATACCGTAGTCTTCCAAGGTAGCTCTGAGCCTTGACAAATGGGCTTCTGAGTTCATGCTCTGAGAGGAAGTATACTTCCTCTTTTGAACATCCCCAGTAGTTTCTTTCCCAATATTAAAGAGCATCAGCCAATGGATCTATGTCAGGTTTTCATTCTACAGAACTCCAGAACATGTGCTAGTGGCAAGACAGTGGTTCTTAATGGTTTTTTTCTCCCCATAACTCTTCCTTGTATGTACTTGGATGTTTCCTAAGGGAAAAGGAAGCACGTGATCATGGGAATGATATCCCAGAACAAAAAGAAATCTTGTCTTACCACTGTGGATTGTAGGAGAGATTGGGAGAAATCATCTTGCTTTCTCCATGTTCTGATTCCAGAAGAAACTGATCCAAAAATTGTAGCGGCAGGGAACTCTCAGTGTGTTTGACACTGAGATTTAAATGCAACCAGAATTGTCCTCAAGGCCCAGCCATTAAAAGCATTGACTCTCTTGACTTTCTGGTATCTTGTTAGAGAACTTTTCACTGTGAGGAAGTGTGGAAATGGCTGTGTGTATGTGTGTAATCTGTTAGGTTGGGGATAGGTTTTCTGTTAGCCAATATTAAGAGACCTGCAATAAAAAATGACCCTGATCTGACAGAAAGTGAAGTGTTTGTGCATGACTGTGTGTGTGAATGTATGTTTGTGCCTGTATATATCTACATACAGATGAGAAATTATATTTGAAATTGTTAGAAAATAAATTGAGATCAAAATGCCTTTAGGCCATTACCTAGAAGTCTGTTTTAAAACCTAGGTATGTTCCTGAGGTCATTTCTCTGCTTATGGTAAAACAGTTGCAATTATGAATGGGGGATATTCTATTGCACTTTCTAAAGAAAAAACTATTTTTGTGTTTGCAAGTAAAATGAACATCCAGATCTATAGCAGAGTCCTTGCTCTAAAGGTTTTTTATCTTGGCTACAAGTAGATGATGCTGTGGTTTTACTATACATTTTATATAAAATCTGTCCAAATTAAGTTTTGGATAAGTTTGTATTGTCATCCTGAAATATAATACATAGCAGTTAGCAATAGCCACTCCATTTGGTCCTCTCTTTGCAGACATAATACTGTTTAAAACACTCAGGAACTATTGCATGGAATCTTTCCCCAGATCAGTTTCTATTAATGATGAAATAAAAGTCACCTGTGCCCAGCCACCATCCCACCCTTACTCCCACTGAAAGTAGAACTCAAAGATTGTTATTTTATGTCTCTAATCATGTATTTTGACATCTTTTGGAGGAACAGGGCAGGATGACTCACTGGAATGTGCAGTATTTTGCTAGAGTATTTCAAGGAATTTTTCTCCAGTATGGAATTATTAGATACAAACTAGCTTAATGATGCTGAGAACCGTTACCTTTTAAATAAGCTTGTTTGATGGTGTGTTTCTCTTGAGTGAGAAGGTGCTGGTTTATCCTCCACACTCCCTTCATTAGCCTGACCATAAGGGAATTTACTCTATGTACAGTTCTTTCCTTTTTTCTTCTAACCAAGGAATCTTCAGATTCAGTATCTTTTTTAGCCCCTAAATGGAAGCAGCTTCTGTTTCCATCTTAGCGGGAGTGAGTCACTTAGTCTTTCCTAAGGGAAGTTAGGAAGCTACATTCCTTGAGTCAGGAGCTCATTACTGAAAATCCCCTTTCCCTGAACCTCTTTGGCCAGCAGAAACTGAAACAGCTGATATGCATATTGATTCTGAAAATTTTTTTCATGAGTTTTTAATTTTTTTTAATGACCAAAGCTTGCAGTGTGGGGGATGACCAGGAGTGGTAATATTACAACACTCATTTCCTTGTCCTTTCAGGTTGTCCTTTCATATTCATCTACTTATCACTTGTCCCTCTTTGTATAGAGTACAACCTGCACCATTTCCCTTCAGGGACCTCCCAGCTGGCACTCTGTGGGTGCTGTATAGAATGCAATTTAATGAATATTTCTTAGCCTGGTTTCAGAATAAAGAGAACCTTTGATCCCAGAAAAGTAAAGACTAAAGTATGGGATAAGGATTATGATTTGGGGAGGGTTGGAGACAAAAGCTGTAAATTAATATGGCTGATTTATTTCTACTATATACATATATATATTTTTTGCTTTTGTATATCCTATATAGGAAACTAAGCTAAGCATTGTATTTTTTTAACAAATCTGAGAAAGCACTATGAACTGCAGATGTTTGACTTTCAGAATATATTTTGTATTGTTAATACCTTCACATTGTGAATACTGGAAGCTGCAGATCTTTGCTAGGACGCAATACATTTATATACTTTTTAAGGGGTTCTTTCTGGGGGTGCTAATCAAGCCTCTGTTAGCTTTAGGGAGCCCTGGTGCTATGTGCTATTTTCATTCAGATGTAAGTACCCTGATGCCTTTTGGACCTTGGGATCAGATCAAAAGAGTTTAGAGATCAGGTACCAAGGAAATGAGAACAGTCTGGCTACCTCCAGTGAGGGGCTCTTTGTGTAACTCTTTCCCCCTAACCAAAGCTGGGTAGCCTCTTGGGGTTAGAAGGAGAAATGTGAAATCTCAGAGTTTCATCTTCCTTTAGAAGACAGCCAGTAACTTATGTACAAGGATGAAAGGCGGCAGCAGTAGCTTTGGGGAAAGGGAGGAGAGGATATGGCACTTCTCCAACCCCGGAAAACAGCTTTTGAAAAGTACTGATAAAATACGGGAAGGTTATTACTTTTATTTGGGAGACTGTGTTCTCTCTGGTGTCTGTCTTGGCTCTACTCTGGAGGTACAGACTTCTAGGAGGTTGAGCAGACCAGCTTTGAGGTTGACCTGTTTCTTTTGTCTGCCTTCTCTAAACACCAGCCCCCAGGAAGACATTAAGCAGCCTTAAGCTTAAATTCTTACTCCCTCTTTCAGACTTGGCTCACTTGCCTTAGAGTGAAGACAGAAAAGAAAATGGGAGTCCCTGGCTTCATTCTTCTCTTAGGCCTTCTCCCCTCTCACTTTTCCAAACCCAAAAAGATTTCCTCTGCAGCATTCGAGAGAAGTATTTTTTTTCCCCATTTGTTCCTACCTTGTTACCAAATAGCCCTGCATTCCTTGTCTTGGCTAGGGGAGCAGAGGTGCCATGATCTGTTCCCCAACTCTCCTCAGCCCCAGCTCAGTGTCAGGAAAGAAGACAAATAAGGTTAGGCTCGGGCTGGAGGAAATGAGGATTTAGTTGATACTCTCCACCCCTGGAGTGTGTGTTTTCCTATTTCTTGCCTTTGGGAATCACACTGTGCCTTCTCCATGGGGGAATGGGCTTTGGGCTTCGTTTGTCCAGCTTTCCTAGTAAATAACTGCTCTTGACAATGTGGACAAGGGTAGCTTTTCATATTTCTGATCATCCCTTTCTCCTGGTGACATCCCATCGCCCTTAAAAGTCTAGGGTATAAAGACTTTGGGGAGAATATGTTGAGATTGACTTGGGGAAAGACCCATTCTCATGGCAGCTGCCCCAGGGCCTGCTTTCTCTTCCCAAGTCTCATCCTAACTGGGGCAAGGGGTGGTGCTCCAATTTCTGGTGCCTGAAAAAGTTTCTTTAACACTGGCAATAACCAATCTCCATACCACTGTTGCCTTTAAGCCTCTTAATCTCATGCTGTGTTTGTTGGTTCCACTCTAGTTATCACCAGGCCTGTGTGGGTAAATAAATGCTCTTTCA